ATATATATTTATAATTTTAATAAATGACAAATTAAAAAGGCATGAACATTTTATTTTGTATCGAAAAAATATCGAACTGTGACACCGAAGTATCGAACCGAACCGAACCGAACCGTGAATTTTGTGTATCGTTGCACCCCTAGTGGATAGATATTACTTGAACAGGAAGAAAAATACACGATGTCTTCATTGTTGTCTCTCTGTTGCCTACTGTGTGTGTGTGTGTGTGTGTGTGTGTGTCTGACAGAAGGGATCCTTCTATTGTCGATGTATGTACTTTTACAAGAACTCCTAAATATGTCTTAAAGTTTGCACATATGTATTTTAGCTGCAAATCCAAAATGAAATATTGACAGTTTTTAAACTCTGCTTTCAAGCCCTGTGTTCATGTCTATAATATCTATTTAAATTAACATAACTCAAAAATTCTCAGTTTTCACCAAAAATACTCTTTCCAAAGCAATGGGGAACAGCACACAAAAACAAGTCTGGTTTTAAAATCTCAGCAGCAATAAATCTTATAAAACGTTACCTGTGAATTACAACTAGCTATGCACGACTTTCAAAACGTGTGAAAATATATCAAGACTAAAAAGCAGGGAGTGAAGAACAAATGCATTAAAATTACAAGGAAAGCTGTACCTGGTTTTGATGGTGTAGAGAATGAGCCAAAGCCCTGGGATGCCACACTTCCAGCACTAGTGCTGAAGGTCCCTGTAGGTTTCTGCTCCCCAAAGGAGGACTGTCCAAAGCTGAAGGTCTTGGCACCACTATTACCAAAGAGACTGTTGGTACCTAGAAGACAGACAGGTAAATGTAATTACACAACAATAAAATGATCTAGGTTTATTTGGTTTGTTCTTTGACAAAGTAGTTACCGCTGACTCAGAACAAAGTCTTGAACAAAAATGATGAAAATATTTCTGAATGTGACATAAATCGGCAACTACTGTTCAAATTTTCTAATTAATCTGCAGTTTTATTACATCTTACTATAGTCTCAGTAGACATTTTCATGGAACTGAGTTAGCCTACCTGTCTGACCAGACTGTCCAAACACTCCAGTGGAGGAGGTGGTGCCAAATGGATTCTTGTTGGCAGCGTCCTCGCTTGGTTTGCCTCCTAGGCCGCTGAAAAATCCTCCACCACCAGATGAGACTGCTGTATTGGCTGAACTTGAACCAAAGAGACTCCCAGATGAGACTGCTGTATTGGCTGAACTGGAACCAAAGAGACTCCCAGATGACGGCTGCTGCTGGGAGATAAACATTAATTCAAAAATTTGTCTAGAAGAAAGGGAATTCAAGAAATTTCCCAAAGTTGGTTTAACAAAAAATAAAAAAAATAAAAAAAGATGGGTCATACCTGTCCAAATCCACTGCCACTGCTAGACTGCTGGCCGAACACCGGGTTGGCAGAAGAGCAGCCAAAACCTGTTTGAGAACAAAAGACAAATTCAATTAACACAGACAAGATCAGATTACTGCATTTGGCCCTTGATGCCAGGCCCATTTTATAGTCATCACTACAGAGTGAAAAGTGGGGACCCCCCCCCATAAAGTATGAAATCAGGAATGCCAAGCTGGGACTAACTGCTGAGTTAATGCACTGACATCAGCTGTGGCATTCTCATACTGCTCTGAGAATTTATAGAAGCTTTGGGAACGGCACAACACCCGCCATCCCACTCAGGCTGACAGTACACCACAAATCTTTCCTGCAAGATGATACCATTTCAAACACAAGTGCCACATTTACCACAACATGTGGAGGTCAGCCAGAGCGAGTGTAAAACTTTGCACATCCTCCACTGCCCACTAACCTTACAGACATCACAGTTCATAAGCTGTCAGACAGTGTTAGTATAATCACTGTCAAATGTGACTGAACAGCATGCAGCCGAGAAGCTCTGGTTATTGATCATTTCACCATGTCGGTGACACAGTGTGGTCTCTGTTAGGCGGGTGCAAAATGAGAGAATTTTCAATACCAATTTCTTTCTGACATTTTGTGTCATTTTTCCAATTTATAAAAAGCCACAGAACTTACAGTAGTTTTAAATAAAGATGCAAGTGATTTCTTTAAAAGCTCTGAAGTTGATCCAATCAAGTCCAGGATAGGACTCACCTGACTGTTGTCCAAAGCTGAATCCTGAAGATGAGGATGTGGTGGTGTTACTCCCAAACACAGATCCCTGTCCAAATCCAGAGCTTTGGCCAAAAGCCTGGTTTGTGCTTTGTGCAAACAGCCCAGTGCCAGTGCTGCTTACTGTGTTAGCACCGCTCGTCCCGAAGGAGAAAGAACTTGCATTGGTAGCAGTAGAAGCACCGAAAAGACTTCCGCCAGTAGTTGCACTACTAGAAGTCGCTCCAAATGCAGACTGTCCAAAAGTAAATCCACTCGATGTTCCAGTGTTGCTTGCAGGCTGGCCGAAGCCACTAACCTGGCCAAACACAGATTTTCCAAAACCAGTCGATGTACCAAACCCAGCTGAGCTGAATCCTGTTGATGCTGGTGCAGAGGAAGCTGGAGGTGCAGCAGGTTGCCCAAACACATTATTCACAGCAGTCACTGTTGCACTACTAACAACGGTAGAGGTTTGAGTAGCTGCAACTGGGGCAGCTGTGTTGATAACTGGTGTGACTCCGACAGAACTACTGTCTGTAGTTGCAGGAGCGGGCTGAGTAAAAATGGAGCCTGGCTTGTCAGATGTGGGGATCTGGAATGCTGGTGGAGCTGCCTGAGATACAGGTGCTGCCTGAGATACAGGTGCTGCGGTGGCAGCAGTTGAAGAGGGTACAGTAGCAGTGGTAGATGGCTCTGGGGTGGTTTCTGTTGTGGACAGGGCACTGGATGGTGCTGGAGGGTTTACTTCTTTTGGTGCAGTGAAAGTCGAGGGAGGGTCTGGGGTAGGGTTAGGTGCGGCCAAAGCAGGAGCAGGTGTTGATACTGCAGGGGTCTGAGTGGTTGCAGGTGCTGCAGGTTCAGGTATCACAGGACGACTGGTGCTCTCTACTTCAGGTTCACTGGTGGGAGGTTCTTTTATAGGGGGCGAAGCAGGTACTGAAGACTGAGGAACAGCTTTTGGTTCTTCTTGCGTCTCTGGTGCAGCTGCAAGAAGACTACTGAAAGATGAGGCGAAAGCTGAGCTGGCTGAGCTAGACTGTGGAATGGAGAAGGCTGGCTTGGTGTTTGATTCAGGAGGCTTAAACAGACTGCCTGACGGGGTCCCTTCGGACAAGTCTGGTGCTGAAGAATCTTCTCCAGATTTTGGAAGACCTGTTCCAAAACTAAACTGTGTCGCTCCCTTGCCCTTGCCAAGTCCAGTGTCCGCAAATGTAAATCCTGCCACAGCAGGTTTGGTGGAGGAATCTTTAGCTTCTTCTCCTTGGCCCACCCTTAGTCCAGAAAAAATGCCCAGAGTCTCGCCACCAGCTGTCTTTGGAGGCTGTGGCTCTATCCTCAGAGTGGCTGTGGACGAGGTGGGTTTAGCACCTTCAACTGTTGCGTTTGGAGCCAAAGTGGGAGACCCAGTGCCAAGACCAGGGGAGGTGGACTTTGAGGTAAAGGAGAATGACTCTTCTCCAGCCTGGCCAAACACCATCTTACCATTTCCACCAAAAGAGAATTTCCTTGCATCTTTCACTGGAGAAACATGAGAAAGAAAAATAGAAATAATGTGCATCAGTAATCTCACAGCTCCTACATCTATCCTAACAAGCTGCTATATCATTTGTACCTTGTGGCATTCCAGCTCCTGGTGTAACTGAAGCAAAACTGAAGCTTGAGGACCTGAGAAAGAAAAAAAAAAAAAAAAAAAAAAAAAAACACCATTTAAGTTTAAATGTAGCAACAGTGAGATGCTCATTATATTTTGTAACAAGACATATTTACGTGTGAAAAATGCTGGATTAACCAGCCAATCTCAGCAATACAGCCATGTAAACACTTGCTCACCCCCACCTACAGTTTCTTCTCCTATTAGGCTAGATTTGGATTACATTAGAGAACTCTTTCAGTACACAACTTATGATTTTGCTCCAGGAGCTATTACCACCCAGTCAAGCATAGTTGTAAGCTGATGGAAAGCTTTAGTAAGCGGGCCCAAATCCTTTGTGAGAGGATGCATTTCATATACACCCCCGAGTGCAGGTTACAAAATAATTTGGCCTTTAGATGAATGTGTTTTAAAACATTTTCTATTACAGTGTGTTTTTATGACAAAAATAATCACAAACATAGTGTATAATCTATACAATACTGCTGGGCCATTAAAAATATATTATATTTATAAACATCAACTCACACTGAATTGAAAGAAAAACCCTTGCTGCTGGTTTGCTCAGCTGAGCTAGGAGTAGCAACAGAAGCATCAGTTTTGGACGGCTGACCTGAAAGAAAAAGTTTATAGTCAATGTCAAGATTTTACAGTGTGTGTGTGTGTGTGTGTGTGTGTGTGTGTGTGTGTGTGTGTGTGTGTGTGTGTGTGTGTAACAGTGCTTACCAAAAACAAAACTGCTCTGTGGGATGGTTGTAGTCTCTGCAGGCATTTTTTGGACACCCTGGACAGGATTCTGCAGAGACAGTTTTAAATACATGTATGAAATTAATATTACAGCTTAACTGTTAACCTTACAGAAAAACAACACTACTATGATGCATTCATGATTTAAAAAAATATAACACACAGGATTGTTTCAGGTGAAAGCTCAAGTCCACTAAGACATAAACTTAAGGCAGATATAGAGAAAAAAACAAAACAAATGTCTATAGGTAATCGTGCAGCACATGAACTTGGAGCTACACAAGAACAGGATTTCTGCGAGGAGTACCCCTGTCACCAAACTGTAATTTGTAACATCAACATGGGTGGGAGGTGGGACATTTCTCACCCATCTTGATAATGGTCTTCACAGGAAAAACTGTCAGCAAACTGTGAATTCTCACATGCTGAATGTTCTTGAAAGTTGTGAGAAGACGAACATAAAGCTATGAATATACCTTTATAATAACTTTTACTATTTAGCACGTGGACACATAAAAATATACTGAAGACATTTGTTTGTGGTGGCACTCCTTGTAAAAGTACAAAACCACTTGAAAGGTGCATGAAAGGTAAAGTATTTTTACATGATTTTCTTTTCCAATTTAAAGTTTTTATTTATTCCTTAAAATATAGATAAAAACTGTTTCAAATATTTCACATGCAAGTCAACTGAGATTTGTGTTGTAAAGATTATTTAATTTGAATTAATATGTCACCCAAGTAACAATAACGAGAAAGTCAAAGACAAAATGACAGGTCGGAGAGTGATGGATTTACTCACCCGTTTGGCCTGACTGGAAGAAACTGTTGCAAAGACCTGAGATCCTGGATCTGGTACCGAGGAGCTGGGGACATCAGCACAACCATAAGAGGGCACAGTTTTCACATGGCACAAAAATATAATCAAATTTACATTATTTAGTGGTATGTTTATGGCAAGGGTCCCTCGCAGCAGCCTTTACCATATCTCTTGCCTGGTCACCCAGTTAAGCTATAGTATCACCCCCATATTACTGACTATGTTAGTGATTATTAAAATAAGAATACATCAAAAATGTTTCAACTACATGTTGATCAAGTACATCCAAGTGTCCCACACCTATGTCTAAATATCTGCTAATCTTTAAGGAATTGGTTATTAACTGATTTTCCAACTGATTCTTTTTAATAGCTACAAATTATAAGTCTTAAGTAATGCCAGTAATCTTGTTTACAGTTATACAGAGGAATAGTTTGTAACACTGACCAAAAATAAAAACAAATAGACTTCTACTTGGGGTTTACTATCTTATTTGGAAGCTATAGTCTTGCCGTATTTGTAGTTTACCCTTGACACATTTTATCTGCTTTCCCTCAATTGCCTTTAAAGGAGTGGGGGTGAGAAGGTGAGAAGTGACCTTCGTTTTAGGTTTTACCTGATGTTGGAAGGAACCACCACAGGAGTCCCCTTGTCCTTGAACTCCTGAACATTGACCACCTGAGGAACAGTCTTCAAGGTGGACTCTGTCAGTGAAGTATTGATCACAGCTGGCATATTAGAGCAATTCACAGCTGGAAAAAAGGTACCAGATGAGACAGAAGCAATCAAACTGAATGTCTCCAGGTTTATTTAAACCTGCTCTGTTTACATTGAAACATTTTAGCAAATTACTCTCAGGCAGGATGTGGTAATGAGCTAACAGTTACACATTATCTGTTCTTTAAGTCTTTGTCTCCCCCTGGTGAATTACTGAGGGAATAACAAAATAATATTTAAAAGATCCCCAAATGCCCACTGTAGCTAAAAACAAATGTGCACATCTTCCTCATTGTTTAAAAACAAATAAATACATTTTTGACTGCTGCACAATGTTACTTACCCAACTGACTGGCCATCTGTCTTCGTAAAGCAGCATTGGCTGCAGCCTGCTGGGCAGAGATGGTGATGGGTGTGGTCCTCTCGGTTGGTGGAGCTCCATGCTTGACTGTCTTTGTGGCGAGAGCCGTGCTCTCAGCCCCGCTGAGGTTGATCTTATTTGTTGGAACTGGAATATTAATGCAGTAATCAATATCTATAAAAAATATCCACATCTAAGACTAGCGACATTACTTTACATTATTTTCAGTAAAATATGGCATTATAACATGAAGTCATTTATTATTTATGAATGCGTCCTCGTAATTTTTTATGAACAGCAACAGTTGGTATAATTTACTTACTGGGGCTGGCAATAGGGCTGAGTCCAAAGCCCATACCCTGTCCTGACTGAATTTTAGATAAAGGGGTGGACTGGATGGCTCCGAAGCCCGGCTGGATAGAGGGGGTCCTCACAACGGTAGGGTGGCGGGGGGTGGACAATGTTGGAGGTATGGAGGACATGGGAGGGGGCCGTGTCTGCAGCTCCTCTTCTTCCTGCTCCAAGTGAGGCGGGTGAGGCTCCAGGGACTGGGACAGGGAAGATGTTGAACTCGCGTCATCCAAGTCCTCGTAGTATTTAGGTGAAAGGAAGGCTGAGCGAGATAGGTTGGCTGAAACAGAAAAATGAATAAATACATTTCGATTCCAATATGTGAGGTGCTGCTGCATTCCACAGTATGAGCATCAGCATAGGGATTTCAATATTAATATCACTGAAATGAAGCGGGTGTTGAATTTGGTATTTGCAGTTGTGAGGGAAAAGCTACTGTCGACATGAAATTAGCACTCACATTTACTATGATTTATTATGAAACACACTAAGAGGGCTTGATTAACATCCCTTTACTTTAAAATCAGGCTTGTTGTATACTTTTTCAAAAGGCGAAATCATTTGAACATTTAGGATAAAACTTTCATGTAACCATAAATTTCTAGTACCTGGTGCAGTTGAGCGGACAGGAGGCATCTGTCCCTTTGAGAGAAAGTTGCGCAGCTGGGACTGTTTAACTGGTGATATCTTGACGGCTGCAGAGACATCATACATACTGAAATATACTGAAAAATATACTGAAATAATTAAATATATCCTGTGCTGTTTTTATGCAGACTGTAGGAAAAAAAAAAAAAAATCAATACCTGGAGATTTGGTCTTAGAAGGGGTAGGGTCCAGCCTGGTTTTCAGGAGAGCATCTCTTAAAGTCTCAAGGTCATTTTCCAAACTAATAACAACACAAAAACATGGTGTTTTTATCCAATAGGAGCAAATGGAAGCGTGTGAACATCCACACATTATAAGGAATGCTGCTTGGAACCATTCTTTACCATACATGATGTTTAAGCTGACTAAAACCCTTTTTAATAACTTAAAAACTGACGTATAAACCATAGATAATGGTTAACTTAAAACTTAAGTCTTTCCTTAAACTACCCCACATAACTAACTCCTAATATCCTCTTAAATCCCTGTTTTTTTCCCCCACATTCTGCAGCCAGGCCTTACCTAGCTGTCGTTGCTGTCACAGGACTTCTAGCAGGAGTGGTTGTTTTGCTGTAGAGGCGTAGTGAATTGAGCTCCTTAACCAGCTGGTCCAGTCTGTTCTTCTGCTGGTTGATGATGTACAGATTGTTGGACAGTGTAGTGAACAGACCCTCACGTCCAGGCACAACCATGTGTCTGTAAAGAGATTTATTTAATAACAAATTATACTCCATCCAATTTTTTATTCTCTCTTTCTATCCAACACACAAACTGCTGGTGGGATTATCTGCCATTTTCTTTAAAACTCACTTCTGCTTTTTCTTCTTCTCCAAGTGTTTCTCCCATTCCACATCCAAGACATCATTAACATCCTCCACAGTGAACATAACATACTGGTATAGCCTTCGAATCTCCTGAATTTAAAAAAAAAAAAAAGATAAAATATACATGATGAAAGAGTTTATTTTTATAAGAATATGTAAAACCTTAAAACTGTCAATTCATGCAAACAATTTGGGGGTAATCTGTCATTTTATTTCTCACCTTGAGCTGTTCCTCACTGCGTGGGTCCAGAGGCTTTTTGTAAAGTAGCTGTCTGTAATTTCTGTCTTTGCTCAGTTCACTCTGGGTCTTGGCTTCTTCTGCCCCAGCAAAGCCTTCCAGTAGCGAAGTTTTCAGTGTGCCAATGTCACCATGGAGTGACTAAAGATTACAGACACACACACAAAAAGGCTTGAAAGGAGGTTTTAAATGATTTATCAACCTAGAGTGACACCATCTTCCAAACACTGCTTCAGACAGGACTCTAAAGTCACAGTGGTTGAAAGTCTTATGGTTGCAGAATTTAGGGTTGTTCGAAATGATTTTTACTGGCTTTCTCAACATCAAATGTTAAAAGGAAGAAGAGCAGTCTGTGAACAGGACTCAGTGTTTCAATCATTGTCTTACCTCTGTAGTTTCCTTGATTTCCAGGGTGAAAATATGGAGGTCTTCCGACTCTTTCCTCAACTCCTTCATTTCCTCATCAGCACCAACCTTAAAGTCAGCTTTTGCACTTCGTGCCTTAAGGTCATCCAATTCCTTCTGGAAGTGCGCGATCTGATGGCAAGTCAGAGACATGTTTAGTAATGTTCTGCCAGACACCACATGTGGTGTCCTGAATAAAGTCCACTACCTTTTCGTAAATCCTACAACTTTGTATGTCAAGTCTTTGGAACTAGTTACTAACTAGACACCTGCACCATTAAAGCTGGTGATATAACTTTTCAACTAATGTACCTATGCCTATTGCTCTATTTATCGAAACACATTATTGCACATAATTAATCTGATGCATCCTTATAAAATAGTGGCATTAATATGTACTTGTTTGTTATCTTTTGTCCCTCCATATAACATTAATGTGAATAATAAGAAGGTACTTTATTGATCCCAAATGTTGGGAAATTACTGTGTTATAGCACCCGAAACACAAGAAACAACTTAGCTCAATTAAACAAATAATGTATTCATTTCTTCTTTTTCTTCAAGCTGCTTTACAGGTTCATACAGCAGATGCTCTGCCTCCATTTAACCCTGTCCCTAGCATGTGACTCTGTCCCACCGACGCTCTGGATGCCCTGAATCTAGGGCTGTGCGATATGACCGAAATCTCATATCCCGGTATAAGAATTCTATCGTCCGATAACGATATAAATCACAAAAATGTAACATTTTCTGTAAATTCTGTGAATCTCGGGCAGCTCGACTTGCGTGAAGTGTTTCCAGCTGCGCGTCATGTAGTTGGAGTCGAGTGTTTTAACCGATGCATTGAAACGATACATTTTTAGACATAAGTTGTAACAGCCGCCGTTTTCTTGGTGAGTATTTATTACACAGCATGCTGCGGGGAAAAGTTTGTTCTAACATTCGAGTCTAAGGTTTATTTTTTAGCACCTGGCGGCTCTTTTTTACTTCTCATCCGTAAATAATTTGCTCTTTCACGTGATTCAGTTTATTTTGAAACGTCTCAACAGGATCTTGAGCTTTATTGTGAAAGGTTTATGTGGAACATAAACAAGCGGACACGCGATGCTGTTACCGTCGTTGTTGTAGTGTGGTTATATTAAATATAAGAGAAAGAGAGAACTTTAAGAAATTAATATAGCCACTACAGTGACCATCAAACCGATGAAAAAATATTCCCGTAAACAGTTTATTTTGCGACACCACGAAACAAACGATAGCGTAAAATGAAACGATAGACGTTTCTATATCGTCATCCGATATATATCGTTATATCGAACAGCCCAAACTGGATCTATAATGCTCCTCTGAGGACTTTTCCTCCTGCCTGGCAGCTCTGTCTTCAACATCCTTTGAGATGCTTTGGACATGTGCAGAGGTGAGATAGTGGATATACTGGACAGTTTTGTCAGTAACACATTCAACCTGAATTGTCCCCCTAACACTCATTTCTAATCCTCTTCCTCCTGGTTACTCCCAGTGAAAATCATAGCACCTTCAACTCTGCTACCTCCAGCTCAGTCGCATTTATTTATTATGTATTTGGTATAATTATATTATAGTATTATATGTTCTGTATATAATTTATTTGTTAGTTTATATAATTAAAAAGCATTCTGATTGAGGTCCACACTTGATATGGTGCATTTCATTTTATCACTTTCTTTTCTCTACAAGCTCAAGAACCCATATATTAGAGATTTAAAGCATTCACGCGACAAAACCAGCATTTCTTCCCCGACAAACCACTGCTACATGGCACGACAGTACATGATATGTCTCACCTCCTCCAATATGCCAGCCATGATGGGATCAGAGTCTTTCCTTTGCTGTAGCTGTTTCTCCAGGGCCTTCACACTGACACCGGCCTGCTTTTTCATGAAAAGTATATCAAAAGTTACTTTTCACTGTCAGCAACAAACACAAAAAACAGTCTGAACTAAAAAAAAATATCAAAATGCCTGTCATCTGATATTACTTTTAATCTGTGTTTCACTTTGTTTTAGTTGAAGTCTGTTGCCAGTAGCAACCAGTGACTGCACAGTTAAACAGAAGTTTGTTTTGTGTTACTTTATTTAGGATTTGTGAATATATTTTTTGCTGCAATTAGTTAATTGCTGTATCCAGGGCTCTATGTGACAACACCTCCTTTGGGAGTGACCAAATTTAACACCAATCATCATCATTTTGTGTCATTGGTGAATTGTGATTAAAAGGTTTTTTTTTTTAATCTATCGAAAAAGTCTACCACATCACTGAAAGAAACCTATTTGATATAAGAACAGTAAACTTTCTTCGCAGCATAGAGATCAGACCTGTGGAGCCTGGGTACGGGTCTGGACAGCAGGAGAAGGTTTCTGGACAACTGCTGGAGAGACACTGGTTTGAACTGGATGCACTGGAGCTGATACACATTTGGAACAACAGACAACATGCATTTGCAATTAAGATTCCAAGAGGACCTTTGTAAGAAAAACTACAACATAAATTTAATTACATTAAATACAACACCTTTCTTACCTAAAATAGCTGGTGGTTTGCTGGCTAAAGAAGGAGGGGCAGTTAAACTACTGGAAGTCGTGGCAACCGTTTTGGACAGTGGGGAGTTAAAGGAGAAAGGAGGTTGTGTAGTCTCCACTGTTGAAAATCTTTGGAAAAAGCAGACCAATTTTTAAACATTTAGACAAAAATCGACACCTTAGGACTAATACTGTGAAAAACATGTGATAGTTCAGTAACCTGTCATTTAGATTCAGCTTCACTGCAGACTGGGACGCAGGGGTGGCAAGACTCTGAGGAGTTAGAGCTGGTGCTGCTGATGGTTTAGCAAGACTCTGAGGAGTTAGAGCTGGTGCTGCTGATGGTTTGACAGAAAGGTTGTTGAAAGAAAAAGCTGAAAGTGCAGAGGGAGTGTCAGAGGGAGGCTTCGAAGCAAAAGAGAAGCCGGATGACCCTGAGCCAAAAGGTGCAGAACCCCCCAGGGAGAAAGCTGAAGGGCCTGAAGTGGAGCAAGTAGTTGGGATGGAGAAAGTGAAGCCTGATGCTGCTGATGACACAGGAGCTTTTGGAACAATGCTGAATGGTGCAGCGGCAGAAGAAGTAGCAGGGGATGGAGAACTGGAAGCAGCTGCTGGAGTAAGACCAAGGCTTGGAAATGCTGCTGGGGCAGATGGGATTGAGGCAGCAATTTTGGGTGGTTGGGTTGCTAAAGAGCCTGTGAAAGAACAAAAACAAACAAACAAAGATTACTTTTATTTGATCTCATCACATTTAAAGCAGTGTGAGTTTTTTTTCTACAAGCACAAGCTACTAGTGTAAAAAAAAAAAAAAAAAAAAAAAAAAGTGGAAAGGTGAAAAAACATTTTTAAAATCACATTTCTGACAGTTTTTAAAGGTATCTGTAGAAATGACCCCTTTACGAGTGATCCTGACTGAACCAAAAAAAAAAAAAAAAAAGCTGTTCATAGAATAGAAGGCACTTGAGAATGTAGTAAAAGCTCACTGCATGGTAAAAACAGTTGGTCACATTTAACAAATGTCAGTGAACATCATGTGAAAAACAACCAAAAAAATTAGAGAAATAAACTCTTTACTAAATATTACTAGAACCACCAACACACTACACGGCTGCTATATTAGGTACAGCCTGCTAATCCAGGGTAGGACCTTTTTTGCCTTTAAAATTATTATTATTATTTTATTTTTTTTTAAAGGATGCCAGAAAATAAATAAATAAATAAATCACACAGTTGCAGCAGATTTGTCAAATCATGATGCAAACCCTCCACATCCCAATGGTGTAATACTGGACTGAATCACTCCTGGTGACTGTAGATTCCATTTGAGTACATGAACTCAAGAGATCAGATGAAATCAGGTGGAGATTATCTGAGCTTTGTCACATGAAACTTTGTTTGCTGGAAACAGCCAGCAGATGATGGCTGTACTGTGGTAATAAAGAGATAAACTGGGTTGAGAATAGGGCTGTCCCAAACGATTATTTTGATAGTCGACGAGTCACCCATTATTTTTGCGATTAGTCGACTAATCAGATCATGCATCCATTGAACGTAAAACGTACAGCTTATTGCACCAGCAGCATCTGCTCTTATATAACTATCATTAGCTTACAGCTTTAAGTGTTTAAGGTATGTGCTAACTAAAAATAAAGACAAGATAGCTTATTAAATTTAAATGAAATTTGCAGATTGTTTCGGTGGAGTTTAATAAACTCAGCCGTCTGCTCCTTGCTATCTAAAATATAACAGGACACCAGAGTAAATTCTCGAGCATCTCACACTTCTGATGATCAGTTGGCTGCGTGACGTTTATTCAGCTGTGTAAAAACTATAACTTTGATCTCAGCCAAACCGATTTACTCAGAAACAAATACTGAAAAAAGCCAAACAACAACATTTTTAAGTTATCTAAGTGACTTATATATGTTTAACCTGAGTAGCGAAAGACGGCGGTGGGTTTGAAAACGATTTGCTGGGAGTCCGGTGTTCTCACGGCTCTAGTGAGCCTTGCCCCTGGCTAACTATTGAGCTAGTGGGTAACAGACGTCTCTGAAAACGTTGGAGCACTTTGAAAATATGTGGTGTCTTGATAAACTGAGCAGATATTTCAAGTTTACACAGCTACATTAACTTAAAATATGTTAAACGTTTATTTTGTGACCAGAAAGAATAATAAGACTAAGTAGCTGCCGCCATTGTTGGAAACTGAGCTGGGCTGCGCTATGAATTCTGGGACACAGTTTCTTCTCCTCCGGGGTTTAACGGCAGTTGGCATCCTTGTACATGCAGTGCTGCCATCTTCTGTTTCAGTCAGTTATTACACTCTTAAATCCTGCTACTTATTCCTGCGTCTTTTGGGATCTTACAAAGCTTCAAACGACGCGTCGACTATTAAATCAGTCGTCGACGATTTTGATAGTCAACGTAATCGTGACTAGTCGACTAATCGTGGCAGCCCTAGTTGAGAACTACTCAAATTCCAACACTCCCATCTTAATATTGGAGCAAAACTTAAGACTAAGACAACATTTTTTCCAGTCTTTTATTGTCCTATTTTGGCGAGTCTGTGTGAATTGTAGGCTCAGTATCTCAGCTGACAGGGCTTTGAAAGCACCATGACCTTCTGCTGCTGTAGTCTATCTGCGTCAAGGTTCAACATGTGCATTCAGAGATGCTCTTCTGCATATTTTTGGTTATAATAAGCAGTTATTGCTGCTTTCCTATCAGCTCGCAGTAGTTTAGCCCTTCTCCTCCAACCTCTGGTATCAACAAGGCATTTTCACCCAGACAACTGGTGCTCATTTTGCCTTTTTTTGCATCATCTATGAGACGGTTGTGTGTCAAAATCCCAGTAGAGCAGCAGTTTCTGAAAAACTCAGACCAGCCCGACACGCATCAACAACCATGCCCTGTTCAAAGTCACTGAAATCACTTTTTCTGCCTCATTCTGATGCTCAATATGTCTACATGCCTAAATGCACAGAGTTGCTGCCATGACTTGTGTTCAGTTGCTTTTTAAGTGGTTGTATGAACACAGTTTACAGCTATCAAACATTTAAAGACATAAAGAAGACATCAAAATTAACAAGAGGGATATATTCAGAAAATCTGCTTCCTTAAAGATTAAGTCAGTCATTTTGTTTAGTTTATTTAACATAAAAAAAAGAATGCGGTACTCACAAATGTACTTTGATTAGTGTGTAATTATGTCTTCCAACAAACGGGTGCATTCTCATAAACTTCGAATTAATCCATCAAAATACATAGGAGTGGTTTGTGGAAGTCTCTGTGTTCCCTGACATTTTGAATACAGTGGCCGAGCTGTGCATAGAGACAAATCTATGTGCATTTCAGCCACATACACAGTACGTTATAAGTTACTTTAATTAAAAAAAACAACAGCACAAATAGTCACTTCAAATCCCCAAAGGAGGAGCTGTAACAATTCAAACACTATGCAATCAATACATTATCTTATTAGGACACTGAAGAAATATTTTAGGCAAACATCATTCCAATTCACAGTTTTTCTTACCAGGTTTGGGAAGTCTTTCCCCTTCCAAGGCCAGGTTAGAAGGAGCCACGACTAGCTGCTTAACCCCTGGATTGAGGTTGAGTAGAGCAAATGGACAAAGTAATCCCTCTGTGGAAAGCATTAGCATTGTGGGCGCTGGGGGCAAGGTCTTCTCATCAGCTTTATGGGAGTGGAAAGATTGGATATAAACAAAGTCAGACACTGAGCAGTTCTCCACACAATACATTTAAAAGTTTTAAGAACATTTGAGTACTAAGACAGTAGGTTCGCGCTATAGTTGTCTGACTGAAGTTGGAGCTTTACGCCCTCTAGTGGTTAAAAAAAAAAAAAAGAGAAAGTATCCAGTCTTCATTTCAAAAAGATACTCCAGTCAGTTACAGAGACAACTGTCCTAATATTCGTAATTCGGTAAAAGAGTAAGATGCCTTTCTCTTCTCGCCAAACCCTGAAACATTTTCTGCTCCTCACACCCACTTTCTTGCCCTTTCCAAAGCCTCGCAGTATGCTGTGGGCTGCAGAGAAAATGGCAAATCATGTCTAAACCACCATTCAAATAACGAAACTGACTATTCACGACACAAATTAAAGATGCATTAGTCAGAGTTGATACTAGTCATTTCAGAAATGCCAAAAAAGTACACTGAACACAGTCCTCTTTGTTTTCTCTATGACCACGTTTTATATCTAAAAATACTGTATTTATCAAGTATAACTGTTCATGAGTGCATGAAAAAGTGTTGCTTTTTCTGACTGTGTCATTAATATCCACCGACTTTGCACCTATTTGACCCATGAGCTACATGCATGATAATCAGTGTCAATGTACACACACTAATACACACCCACACTGACAAATAAAATGCCAAGAAATACACTTGAAGAAGCAGTGCGATTTAAAGTTTTAGACAAAAAGAAAGCATACACCCCCACCCCACCCCAAAAAACTGTATCTAATGCTTTTTTGTTATGAAACTAAAGTTTGAAAGCTTTAGAGACGCAAGCAGAGAGAGGGTGAGAGGGAGCGAACAGACGGGAGAGGCACACGGTAAACCTCATCAGCATTCTGCAACAGGATTGTCTGGGCTTTGTTGTTTGTTATGGTCCTCTAGCTTGTGTGAGCCATTTTAATGAGTGCATTTTTCCCTACAGATAACTCCCTCTTACTCTCCCTTTGCTTTTCCAACCTAATGTCTAACTTTAGATCAAGGTTTTGATCAGACTACAATCATGTCATAATGTTGCTCAAATTGCAGGGTTTTTTTCCCCCGTAATGGGGAGGGAGGGAATCGTAGAGTGAACAGGAAGAGATGTGACTAGACAGCAACAGCAGCTCTACGTGAATGTCTGGCAGACTGGGCCAGTTAAGATAAAACAGTGTACTGAGACGATAGCTTATCACTATTCTTTACACATGCTGCAATACAGCACTGCGGTGAATGCTGTATGCACACAGAAACCTGACGGATTTAAGCTTCACTGGCTCATTAGGGGACTTCTCACCAGAAAACATTTTAAAGTTGAAACAAAGGCAAGGGAATGCGCTACAAGAGATAACACGACTAAATTAAATTAAACTAAACTTAAAAATGACCAAATTAACTTTTGTCTGGTGGCAGAGGAGACGTGCACCGTCGCCTATCTTTAGAGCGTGGTAAGAGGGCTGAATGATGTTTTTCACACCCCTGGATTGAAAAAATACAGGCCATTTATTTTACACCGCAGCTGTCTGATTCTTTAACAAGAGACTGTCACTATGCGTCTTGGTGAAGAAGAAAAAAAGAATTAGAAACTATGCACCCACCACAGTCAACCAAATATAATGCGCCTGTCTCTGCTAAAAGAAATTCACTCGAAACTAACACGAGCCTCTGTGTTTTGCTGACTTATTGTGCGATCGAGTCATTAATTCCTCTTCCATCTATTTCCACAGTTCTCTGCTGACACACAAGTTAGAAGGCAGCTCACTACTGATCACCAGATTCACAGCGTAAACACAATAAATCCATGGTGAGCACTAACACTGCACTGCTTCGCCAGTGTTCAAAATGCTGCATTACTTTTCCCACACAATCCACACGTTTTTCCAACAGTGTCGATCCAAATTCTTAGAAGCTTTGACTACCATGATAGAAAATGTCAAAATCGTGATCCATGATTATTCACTAAACTTGAATGTTATCCTTAATGATATTTATAAATCTCACTGTGTTGGGTCTCATTTCTAGCACCAGCACTGTGAAAGGTGTACATCTATGTGGCAAGGTGCCAGATGAGGTCAAGGTTTTGTTTTTTCAAAGTGCCTTTAAGCAGAGACAGCAACATTGTAACGATTTTTTTATTTACTCATTTTTTTAAAACCCTGCTTTAGGGCTGCTCAATTAATCGAATTTTAATCTCGATTACGATCTGGGCTTTCAACGATCATTAAAAATGACTGAGCCGATTATTAGCCCCTCCCTCGTGCTTTACTCTCGCGCTGCTCCGTGTGGCAAATCGAGCGCACCTCTCTGCGTTTCGAACACGCGTCACAACAATTAAGAGGACCCGAGGGAAGCTCGGAAAGCTAAGCAGAAGTTATTTGGAGAGGAGAGTGACTGCCGTTGGTTGAAAAGAGAGGTAAAAAAAAAACTTCAGTGGTGTGGAAACATTATGGGTTCGCGGAGTCAGACGTGGATCAAGTAGACATAGTGTGTAAACTTTGCTACGGTGTCGTAGCTGCACCACAGAGCAACACTGCAAAGTTCACTAAACATAGATGTTTACATTTTTCATTTATTTTTTATATTGCAAACATTTGCACTGTTATCAGTATTTGCACACTATTTTATATTATTTTTTGACAATCTTTAAAGTCATTATTCAATACATTGTTATTGTTAAATAAATATCGTCAAATAATCGAGATCTCAATTTCAGTGAAAATAATCGTGATTATCATTTTTGCCATAATCGAGCAGCCCTACCCTGCTTTGTTTTTTGGGATTCCATTGAGTCAGGCATTACAGTTGTTATGTCTGTTAACATTTGCTCAATCAAATGACAGCAGTATTTCTGTCAACAACTGTAGCACAGACAGATCACCTTTATTGTACTGTACGCAGACTGGTCATGCTTATTTGACACAGTCAACAAGTCTGATATATTCTGAAATAACATGAATCATAACCCAAGTCCTTATGAAGGTTATGCCACAAAAAGAGAAACAAACAAACAAAAACAAGGCAAAACAACAACAACAGTAATAATCTTTATATATGAAATTAACTTCTGCTCAGACAAGTGAAGCAACTAAATACATAAAAAGTCATATTCACTTACTTATGTGGATTTCCTGCTGGCTGGTGTAGTCTATAGCTAAGCCAAGGGGCAAAGTGTCTTCATTTGTTTCAGTCACTCGAAGCTCAGCCCTGCTCGAATCTTCTAGTTGCCAAACTTCCCACATCTAAAAGGGGTAAAAATAAGACATGGTCATCACCATTTACAGAGAGTAAGTATTCAAACAAAATCCAAGGAAAATTAACAGATTTGGGCGGGTGGGGGTATTTACAGTTCCTAAAAGCATCAAGTCTAATTCACTAAAACGTTGAAGCACTCAGATAAAATTATTGGTTTACCTAATTGATAAAAATTCAGCAAAAGCACAAGCTTGCTCAACTGTCACCAAAAAAGTCAGGTAAGCATTGGATATTTGACCTGGTGGGAGCTTAGCTAATCTAAATTATTTAGAAGGTAAGTGTTGTGACTGAGTAGAAGCTGCTGTAACACTTATGCAACCCTACTCGATTTTTTGGAAGCATTTTACTTTAACCGAGTAAAACAAACAGATGTAAAGACAAAGTAGAAAAATGACAATACATTCAAGACCACTTTCATTTATCTCTACATTTAGACAAACCTAAAACGTTTTCACACATTTTAGCGTTTACCTTATCATCTTGTCTGGCAATGACGCTGACCTCAATGGAAGCTGCTGATGCTGCAAACACAAGGTCCCTGGATGAAAGAAAAAAAATAAAATCAATGAGACAAAGCTTCAATTTACCATGACCTTAACATCAAACAAAGCGCAAAACTTTCAGGGCATAAACAATGAGTTTTAGCTTATAAGTAATCAGGCTTTCAGGTCACTGTTGGAGCAAATCTATCAGTTGGGATCAGTCTTACCAGTCCTCTACGTGACTGAGGAAGTAGTGGTGCTGACGCTCCGTACAGCTTCCAAAAACAAATTCACCAAAGTTCAGAAACTTTGGCTCCACTTTCTCATCCTTCTTCTGTAAAATAAATAAATAAATAAATAAATAAATAAATAAATAAATCTAGAGTAGAGAAGTGGCATACTTCAGTAGCACAGTAATTTATGTCAAAAATGTAAGCTGCAGAAAAAGAACCCCAATATGCATACAGTAATTTATGTGCATTAACCTGTCAGCTAGTGACATCAAACTGTGTCTCAGGGTTGGGGGGGGGGGGGGGGGGGGTGTGTGCTAAACTGCCTTCTTTATACAAATTTAAGGGGGATGAGTGGGCCTCAAGAGTCTTGGTATACAGACTGTAAAGCTGTCTGACACACATACAAGTTTGAGTTTTATAAATAAAACTGATTGGACATCAACACTGTTAAAATGCCTTAAGCTACCCATGGGAAACAGGTGCAGCAATTTATTGGAACATCTGCAAACAGAAATGGAAATACAGCATATAACAAACTTTGTACAATTTTAACAGGCTTGAAGGTTTACAGTTTGGTATTACCACCTTTATTCTTCATCACAGCCTGAACTCTCTGATGTAGTCTTTCTTGTAATTTCTTTAACCTCCTAGGACCTGGCGTCCACAATATGGACATCACATTTTGGGTTGTCTAGACCAAAATACTACATTTTGCTCTACAAGGGCCTGATATCCACTTACGAGGACATTATACTGCCACTGTTCTATTGAATTTTAAAACAAATATGCTCATATGTGGATCTCATTTTTCTCAAACAAAAAGTAAAAAAAGAAAAAAGAATCTGGTAATTCTTTGTTTTTACATTCATCAGGTGCCAATCATCCCAAATATCAAAGAGAAATTAAAAATGCATGCCATGGAAGAGTTCGGGTCTTAGGAGGTTAAGTAGTCGCTTAAAGGCCATTTAAAGCTCTTCTTTGGATGTTGGTTGCGTTTTGTTCAATTGTCTGTTAAGACGATCCCACACTGTTAATGGGCACTGAGGAGGTCAATCCATGACTGATACAGTGTTGCCTTTTTCAATTTACACAAACAAACATTCCTCTGAAAATGGTCAGATACAAGGACTGGACAGGAAAAAAAAAATAGTGGAAAAGCAGCCAATGTCCAAAGAAAAACCTTGAAATACCTTCAGAGAGCCTGCATAACGCTTTCTCTGTCATTAAAAAAAAAAGAAAACTACAAGTGTAGCTGACTGGGAGCAAACTATGAAGAAATGACTGGTGACTCAAGACTTTTACACAGTAGTGTAAATATGAAAAGAAAGCACAAAAGCCCAATTATGGTCAAAGCACTGGTCACTGCATGCACAGCTGTGATGTCATCAGAGCACCAAAACTACATGCACTGAAACCCAAGGGAAGCCTAAGAAGTAAATAAATAAATATATCACAGATTCATAGGAATAAGCAAGTTTTTTGTTTTAAATCTTTGTTTCTACCATCTGGAAATCTATGTTCCTTCACAGATGTGTCATAGAAATGTCTCCACTGACTGACCCACTTGCACTGACATGCCTCCAGACTGGTTGTGCCAGGCATACAGGAATACTGTATGCAAAAATGCTGTGAAGTTTCTTTTGGTACTTATGGCTGCCAATGGCAACCATTGAAAACATTCGACACTGTTATTCTTTTCTTTTTTTCTGTGGTCATTTTCTCTGCACTGAAACATTTCTGTATTAATCCCTGTTTAATTATTAAAACCTGTATAAAACTCTGGAGGCATAAAACACTAATGATGAACAATTAGATGTTCTGATGATCAGTTTGCTGGATCATTCCTGCTCTCTTTCACTTCATGTGGGGATGATGTGAATATTTCTGAATAAAGATGACTGTGATCAAATGACTTGTAGATTTTCAGACTTAAAAGCAGCTCTAATGAATTCCTAACCATAATCTAAATGTATTTACGCCAAGCATAAATACACAAATATATTTGTAAGCAATGTTTAAAAACTGCTGTGCATTTATATTTTAAGTATAAATTGAACTGTTACAGTTTGAACCTGGATCATCTTTTTCACACACTTCACAGATCAATAACTAATCTGCTAGATACATGTGTTTAACTCTGTTACTTGCATTGTTATCACTGTCAAGTTACTGATAAATAAATAAATTTTAAAATTTACGTGATAAAACTTAGAAACGCAAGCAAGGAAAATTCAAGTTTGGTAAAAGATGAAAATGTGGATAATAAATTTAACTCTCCATAACTGAGCTGCAGTGATGATTTTTTCCCCCCGATACCCATGAATGGTCTTAACTGAGCCTCATACTCTGATCAGCAGTTCGGCCGTAGAACCAGTCTGTTAAACCTGATAAACCCAGATAAAAATTATCTAAAAAACGATGCCAGGCATACTTACAGGGAGTGAGATCAACACTAGCTCAGGGGGGGTCTCAAGTGAGCCATCTCCAGCAGCATATGCTACTGCAAACACATAGGTTTTCAGCCACAGCACATCCACAGCTGTGAGAGACAAATAGGAAAGAGAGACAAGACATTGGAACATCAACAAAACAGCAAGACTCAGCTCCTCCTTTTCCTATACAACTTGAAATATTTTATGGAATCACTGCAATCTATTACTAATCTATCACCACCAAGATAAAAACCTTAGTGTATGGACCATTTTCATAGTTTAATTTTATATACACAGGTAGGGCTGCACGATTAATCGTTAGAAAATCGCGATCTCGATTCATACTTATGTGCGATCTCATTTCCAAATGACAACGATTTTAAAAAAAAAAGAAAAGAAAGAAAAAAAGAAAAGAAAAAAAAAGACGACAACGATTGTACCGCATTTTGATCCGGGACGTAATCTGCATGAAAACAAGCGCTCACTCTTCCTGCTCAACAAATGACAAGGGCGGAGCCTTATACCACGTGATACAGAAGCTGTGCCGTGTGATGCTAAAATTAGCAGGGAAAAAACAACGGAGAGCACGTCAGGGATGACGAGAAAGTGACAGGAGAAAATCCGTCCCGGTCAACCACCCAAACATCAATAACGGGAACCTTATACAGCGCTTCCCTATACACGTCGAACTCCCGCAGGCACAAAGAAATTACGGAGGCTATCACTTATCACCTGACCAAAGATATGGCTCCCATCAACACTGTGCAAAACGAGGGATTTAGGAAAATGATCAACACCCTAGACAAACGCTACACAGTGCCGTCCCGCAACTATTTTTCTATTGTTGCACTACCTGCTCTATACACGCAGTGTCGAGCAACGGTGGAGACGGAATTTCAAGCAGTACAACATTTTGCGGCAACGACAAAATGTGAGACATTTGTTGTTTTTATGTTTATTTATTGTTTTTATGTTCAGTCTCAACTGTTACGAAGTTGATGTGCAGTTAATAAGTGCAATAAATATTTATACTGGAAAAGAAAATCGTGAGAGAATCGTGATCTCAATTCTAAGCCAAAAAAATCGTGATTCTCATTTTATGCAAAATCGTGCAGCCCTATACATAGGTATGGCTACCTTACCTTTTACAGTTTCGCCAGGGGTGAAGAACTGTGGACATGGGATAACTTTCTTTTCCTCCAGTCCCTTTAGAACAGAGGAGAAAAATCTGTTCCTGTAGCTTCCAAAGACTGTTAAGCAATTTGCTTTTAATTCAAAATTCTTCTTATTATAACTTACTGGTGTATATTGTGTGATTGTACCATCCATTTTTCCAGCTGCAACTTGCTTTCCCTTTGGACTCCAGCAAACTGTGGTAAACAAAGCAAGTAAACAACTACTGAACCACATCAGTGATATGGACTGCAGATAAATTTAGCAATTATGTCAAGAGTGTCACTCACTGCAGGTAATTCCACTTGAAGAAGGCAGCCTGGCCTGCACATTGATACTGTCAGTAACATCCAAAATCATTATAGTGCCATCAGAGAGGCAGACAGCCAACACAGACACCTGCGCAGGATTCCACTTCAGGTCCTGCACTAAGACGTCAGCTGCTACAGCTGGCTGGTGCGATGCAAATGGTAGCTTCTGTAGTTTTCCCTGGAAAAGCAAGGAATGCAAATTAAAACAAATATCAGACAACATGATTACATTTACCAGACAAGGTGAAATTTGGCAACAGGTGTTCGACTGTGTTAACACATTAGGCAGACAGACTGAAATAACTACCTTGTTCATGAACGTGCGGACATCATAGAATGTGAGTGACAAGCCAGCTTCCTCAGACATGCCACACATGGACAGTGTGAGCTCATCACAACTGAGAGCCACGTGGTGCAAAATTAGTTCCACGGTCACTTCAGTCAGTGCTGGTATTCCTTTGACTAAAATAGGGAGGAAGATGTTAGTGGACAGTGAAACAGCAAAAATTATTAATGACATGAAACATGTGGTGTATCCGTCATGACAACATTGTGTTTTTAACCTGTCATTATTGCACTATTTAAAACTGCATGTGTATTCATACCTATTTCGTTGGAGTTGCCATCACCTTTATCAGCAGCCAGAATATCTCGAGTTAAGTACACCTTGAGAGTTCTGTCAAGCCCCACAAAAGTTAAGCCATATTTATTTGAGATGGCAAGGAGGCTGGATCTGTCTTTTGGCAAATCTTCGGTGGGGTCAAACACTCTGACTTTCTTCATCTGACGAAACTGAAAATCCTAAAACGAAAGGCAAACACTTTCATTTCATGGTGACCTGTTATGAACTGTTAACAACTGTGGGTCCACTTCGGTAAATGCAAACGCAGCGTCTTCGAAACAGAATAATACACACTTTAAATAAACATTGTTGACAAGATAGCTGGTGAGCCTGAAGGGTGCTCTCAAAGCCAAATGTTTATAATGCCTCTCAATTAGAACTATGCTAACACGTTACCATGTCGTGTTAGCAATCGGTGCAAGGCTTGTTGTAATGTTACAGCAATATATAAAACTTAAACAAAAAAAAAAAGCAATGTGTGTTAGAACACGTTATTTTACAAATGAATAATTTAATAGGAAGAATCCACCAAACACAGCGGCGTTTAACTTTACAAGCACAACGTCACACCGGCTACGGTGCTAACCCTAAGTAGCGGGCTAAAATATGGCATGAATAAAACTGCAGTAACTACTTTTAATTGAAACGCTTTTAAACCGCTGTGAAAGTCTTTAATGTTTTATCGTATCAAAGTAGTCATTACAGTTCAGTAAATATCGTGAGGATAAGGATACCTAAACCAGAAAACATAACCCACGACAAGTGGCTTGTTTAGCTAGCCAGCTAGCTAAACTAGCCACTACATTAAGGGTGAACTGACACGGTAACTTACACATGCTAACCTGTGAAGTCAACTTTAACAGAGACATACCTTCATTTCCCTCTCAGGAGGGGAGTCCGCATCGTCACTCATTGTGAAATTTTGAGGGTTTTTCTTCCAAAAGACCTGCTGTGTTCGTTTATATCTTGCTAGTATGTACCACAGAAAGTTTAGGTTAGCTACATCAGGACAACTAAACACACGCCGCGCGATTTTTCCGTTGAAAAAACAAAAACCAGCTAGGATGACGAGTAGATACCAGAGCAGCTTGAGAGAACACGAGCTCATACAGTCGAGTATGTTTAAGAGTTGCAATTAAAGGTTGAATTATCTAGATATAATTAAAGGTATATATTTTACCCTTTTAATAGTAAGTAAAAAAATGCATAAAAGTTGTGTTTTTGTGTGTGTGTATACAAAAACATAACTTTTATGCATTTTTTTTACTTACTATTAAAAAGGTCCCACTTTTTACAGTAATAGAATAGCATTTTTTCCACCAACAAAGTGATTTCCATGAGCCATTAACCCAAACTTATAAGTGTTGGCTAATAGTTAATCTATAATTCTACTGTTCGAAGCTTCAGCATAAATTATCTAAATGGACTGGTGGCTATCAGGGAATGGAATAAAAGCCAGCAAAGGAGAGCTGTGATTGTCCTTTGAGGATCCTGGAGAGCTATCCTTGAAGACTAGTTCAAGAATTTACAAGAGTTCAGGCTGTGTTCGAGGATAAAAGTAGTTATACCAAATACTGACTTTCAATCTTGTTAGAGTTGAACACATTCTTTCACCTCACATACCATATAATCGCTGCTGCATCTTCAGTCTTTCTCATTTTCATAGCAAAATAAATTTTTAAAAATTGAAAGAATGAGGGGTAGCTTAATAAGAGTCCCCCCATACATATATTTATATATCATAGATGAAATGCTTAGGTTAATATGGTTGATTTGGATCGATCCAGTGTTGCCTGCAATTCTAAACCTGTGCCTTCATGAAATAAAACTGGCTGTATACTGTATGTTACATTCATCTTTGAAGGAACTCCAGTGACTCATCCAGCAAAATTTAACACCATTTTAATGACACAAGAATTTCACAGCTCGGTGGCACAGACAGTGAGAATTATTATTGTCACTAATTTGTCTTCTTTCTGCTGGAATCTCATTACTTACATGTTTGAAGCCATGCAGATCTACAATAAATCGCAACTTCCAGAGAAAAATATATTTCAAGTGCATCCTTTTGTAGGTACTTTGGCAAATGCAAAGAGAGACAAAAGACAGTATATGGTGAAGTAAGGACTTTTATTAGAAAGCAGATTTTTCTGTATTGCATTTAAAGAAATTGGGTACTCTTGGACTATACAACTTAAAACTGGTGATGGCAAATATGATGGGAATGAAAGGTAGATTACATCAAAAGTGGCAACTTGCATTTCTGTTGTATATATTATTGATGCTTGAGTCAGAAGGCGCATAAACATCTTTTTCATTTGAAACATAAAGCGGCATCAACACTGAAATTGTCCCATCCCAGTTTGCCTGATCCAAACCCAGCTGATAGTGAAGAACATTACCATGATCGGTGTAGGGTTGTTGTCCATCAAAGGGGGTTATCAACAAAACCTGGGCTCAGGACCACGTCCAGAACATGCTTACCAGAGCATGACAGATATGGTCCGTGTCCAGCTCTGTTTGCAAAGCACCAAAGTTTGACTCAGTCCTGGTTTTAAAGACGCACACTTATAACCAAGAAGGCTGGAGATAACATCACCATGTCCCTCCACTCTGGAAAGGAAGCTAGCACAGACCGAAGCAAGCTGAAGAAAGACAAAGCAAACAGCAAGAGCACATAGCAAGTCATACCATATGTCCCGTAGTGCACTTTGGGTCTCGTTCCTATTCTGATTGTCAGCGCTCTGAACACATGGCTTTAAAAGTTGCATTTACTCCTCATTTGCCTAACACCCGGTTGCTCTCAGTGTTTTTCCTTTCACCTTTCCAAGTAGTTCTAAAGTGCTGGCGTTATGTACAAGGACATGTAAATACACAAACAAACCTTCAGTGCATTTTCTTCTGAGTGTGCTGAGCTGTGAACATACTGAACTGTGTACTTAGTCTCTGTATTCCACTCTTTGTCACTACTTTGCTGTCATTAATACAAGAAATTCAGCTTTATGCAAACATTCAGCGAAAGGCCAGGTTGTATAATAAAAAAATCCAGCCCTGCTCACCACAGGACACCTCGATCTTTGTTTACTAACAGTGACAAGAGTTATTCAGCATAAAATACATGGTGCATAAAGATCAGAGGTTTCATTGGGTTGCGGTGAGTGCGAATGGCATGCATTTTATGGTACAAGTGTCTCTTTGCATATAAATGTATTGTTTTTCATGATGAGCCAGTCACTGGAACAAAAAACTACAGTGTCCGTGTGGGGGTGAGCAGAGCCCGATGCAAAGTGAGGAAGAAGTTATTTGCAACAAAATACCTTCTATTCAATAACCATCCAAGAAAAACAAAAAGTTTGATATAAATGAGAAACACGTCCGATACATGACATACATGTAACTGGACTTTTCTCTTTTGGCCACGTCAATCTTCCCAAGGGTTAGCCATGACATTCTCCGTTTATAGTGCAACATCGTTCATTTACCCTGCACAAGAAAAGGATCAAACCCCAAGTGGTCTTAAAGGATTATTGTTCTGTTTTGGGTTTTTTTGATGGCTTTGTTTTGCAGCGGGGCAGAAAAAGTGAATGAGCTGGTCAAAACCAGCGCGTGATAAGGAAATCGTGCGTAAAAAAAGAAAGATCCCCCCCCCCAAACAACAACAACAAAAGCCCGTCACACCTTAAATGTGACTAACTGATGAACAGGTTTGACTATACTTGACTATACTACGAATGAGATTTCATTTGAATTTCTTCCAAGGGTGTTCAACCACATTCCTTAAGAGCTGTGCTGTAAATATGTAATACTGGGCTGGTGAGCCAACATGATGGAAAACATAAAGCAAGAATGTAAGGTGAATAAATGACTATGTTATTAATATCATTTATTAGAATAAAAGATTACTAGTTTTTAATTTTAAACTCAAAAATGGCCAAAAAAAGTGTTATCTGGCTATATTTAGTAGGTCCTTGGTCCTGTTTGCTTCTGAACACAAAGTAATGGCACGCATCCACACCCACACATTCACAGTCTAAGGCACTGCTCCACACCCCTTTAATACTACAGTGGAACACATCCATGTTTCCCCACCCGTTATTATTTACTGCTTTATTTTAATTGCAGCTGATTTCATATTCCCCATGTATTTAGTATCTCTGCGAAAGTCCTCCTATTCAAAAGGATCAAAGATTTATTTTACACAAAAACACACAGAGAGAAATATTAAATACAAAGAATATCACACTCATTGCCCAGTTTACTAACTGAGTAGAAAGGTTTCTCTCTCTCTTTTTTTTTCTGAAGCTATAACAGCTACTTTCTATATTTTCCAAAATAAAGGCTACACATATTCATTTCTCAAGTCTGTTACTCTGACTCTGATCAGAAGTGATCAGACATTTAAGTGGCTCAAATAGACAACTGAATATTGTTTGTTTTTTACTGCGAGAAAAACCTGTAAAAATAATAAACATATGATATGAAGGTACAATTTGCAAAATCTCTGTGTTAAAAAAAACATCAAACAGAGGGAAAAAAAGCCTGCACTGCATGTGAACCTTGCTCAGTTTTGCACATAACGATGTTCACTACACTGGAAGACCTGTTCGCAGTTTGAAAAACATAAAAAAAAATAAAAAATAAAAAAAATCACTATATCAATAAAGCTTTAGGTTTAAACACCACCCAGCCTCACAGTCGGTATTAATTTTATATTATGGCATATTTTGAAGAATTTACTATACTCAAATCAAAGCTTGGACCCTCACCACAGCAGTGCTACAGATTACATTCATCCATCATCCCAGCCATCGTGACACAGTCTTGTTTTATCTACGGCAGATCGCACTTATTCCCAAAGAAAATAAACGCGCTATGAACCTTTTTGTTACTACCTAGTGCAATCGTAACCCTGTGTTTCTTGTGCAGGGCCATCTTAAAACTTCCCCTAACAGACGCTGAAACAAGAGCAGAAACAGAGACTACTCTGGCCCCGCTCATGAAGTGGCATAGCATATATTTTGAGAATAGTATTAGTACTAAGCCCGGCAGTTCTTAAATTAACCTATCACAACCCACTTTCCCCCAAATGTTGGTGGCTTCTCTTTTACTTAAATGAACGGTCTTTTCTGTGCTTTCGTTTGCTGATAGGGGGGAAAAAAAAGATACAGGGAAGATCTATGCATTGCACAATGAAGAAAGGCTGTGTGGCAAAAAACAGATATCAAAAGAAGAAATCAGGTATGACGAATGCAGGTTTAAAGTCCCTGTTGGACATTGCTTTGCTCCCCCCACCCCCCTTCCAAAACGTAGAAACAGTCATTGTCAGAGAGACTCGTTTCAGGTGTTGTCGTTACAGCCTCTCAATTAAAAAGGTCCACGTTACCTCCCTCAGCGTCTCGGCTCTTTACCTTCTTTTGAGTGCAAATGCAATAAGCCAGCATAAATTGCTCGTATAAGTTTGATTCAATAATTTACCCACCCTCCCAAAGAAAAAAAAGAACAAACAATAAAACAAACAAACAAACAGCCAGGTAGGAAGCAGGACTGCGTAGTATCGGTGCATATCACACCACCACCACAACATCACCGAGGTGGAACAGTGCTTCTCTCTAACATTCGTTCTTCTACTGCCCAGTGTAGTGCACTTCTTTACTACTCCATATATCCAGTCTCCTCTGCTCATGGGCACAGCACACTCTTTAGTTTAAAACAAACAAACAAACAAAAAAACAAATAAAACAACAACAACAAGAAATTCCAACAGTTACTGTGTAAATCCTGGGTCACAGCCGGATCAGTTCTAACATGCGTCAGACTGCGGTCAGGTCCAGCGGGAAACGGAGAGAGTCCTCTTTGAGCATTAACAGCGTATCTCGAGGCAACGGCAGCTGTTATCTTATTTCAATGCAGGTTTGTGGCTTTGTTGGTGTTTTTTTTTCCGAGAATTCTTTGTATCCACTGTTTGTATGAATGCATGCAAGCTCGGATTTTTTCTTTCTCTCTCTCTCTCTTTTTTTTTAGTGCATGTTCATGTTCAAGTCTCTCTCTGTATCTCCACAAGAGAATGATTTTTACCCAGAGTTAAAAAGCACTGTTTTTATAGACCATGTATTCTGAATACATTGGCGCAGATATTCAAGGCTATTATCCACGGGTTAGGAAATATGTCTTATCTGTATGCATGTGTGGTTGGGGAGGAGTGGTCTGGAGCAGACACAGGCATCACATTGACAACCTAATTCAACATGTCATGGGCAAATATGCCCGAATAAACAACTCCATGTGATAGAGTTGTTTTTAGACTGTGGACTATAGACATGACTGCTTAAAAAAATTTGATCATCTAAATGATGGGCCTATTTAATAGGGAGAAAACCGTTTTGTTTAATGGAGCTACCACAGTACATGGCCTTAAATTGCAAAACTGTTGTTGTTATACATTCATACACGTTCAAAATACAGTAAAGTAACATAAAGCGGTCAACATTGCTCATTCCAGATCTGTTTTCCCCAAGGTTACACGGGTTAGTTTCTGATGCAGCTTTCCAAGAAAATGGAATCATTTTACAAATCGGTGTACCACACCGGCAAAGCAGCTGTTGCTTTTGTATTGCACTTGAATGATGAATCATTACAGCCATTTGTTCTGCTACCAGGCCTTTGTAATAATGCTGCGGATGCCAAAACACTGAGTACATACTGAGTGTACCAAGAAACGGGCGGAGCAGAAAGAGTCGACTTTCTCAAAGTGCTAATGCCATGCCTGTGTCTACTTCTAAGAACAGTGTTCTGCTTCCACTAGCGGCAATTATGTGAGCACGCAAGCACACGTGTGCGCATGCATGTGCGACAGATTCCTGTATAGTAAGATCAGTGAGTGCGGCTTCTTGTGCTGAGCGAAATTCCCGTTGAGGAAGCACAGAGGAGGAAGAGTGGCGGACGAGCTGTTGTAAAAGAGCAAGCAAAGAGAAGAGGCTGTCTCTCACAATGTAAGAGACAGCCTAAAAAGGACATTCACTGTCCGTTCACCCTCGCACCGTGTCCAAAATTTTCTGCTTCCTGCTCAGCCGGCGTGTCGCCACAGTTGCCTGCCTCGGCTCCTGGGATCGCCCCCAGTGATCTGTTTACACCCTCTAACCTAGCTTCATCCTCGTCTTCCTCCTGTTCCTCTTGGACTGCTCCTTCGCCTTCATCTTCAGCTTCTGCTCCAGCCGCCCCAGACCCGGGGCTGCCTTCTGTCAGGGGTGGGTGAGTCCTGAGAGGGTCCTTACGATCAGGATACAACCTTTGCTCTAAGGTCTTGAAGTCGGCCTCAAAAGTGAGGGGTAACCCTGACTGAGGGGCACCCAGCGTCAGACCCAGACCTATAGCAGCGCTCATGCCCATTCCTGCACGGTACACATCCATGCCATCGGGCAGCATGGACTTAATCTTGGGCAACCATCGCTTGCGGACCCGCCTCGCGTTTGTGCACATGTCAGCAGCAATCACATTCATTTCACTCTCCTTGAAGTTAGGGTTGAAATTTTGACAGTAGACTGTAAAAAAAAGAAAGAAAGAATACAGCAAAAGTCAGCGTGGCACAAACTGCCCCCCTTTGAAACTTCCATTACTTCTATCAAGTATGACCTACGTTTGACAGCGTTGAGGACCCTGCTGTCCAGGGGTTTCCTGCTGGGATCACTAGTAGAAGAGCGAATGCCCGTCCCACAGCTATTGGCTAAAGTGTTTCTGCAGGGATGCAAAGTCAACACCAGGGGGCAGAGTCAGCAACAGGCACATACAGTAGATAAACATTGGAGCACACATAACAAACCGCATTGCACAACATGGCCACAGATGGAGTGTGAAAGTTGGTTTGTGACAACAGCAGTAGTGTTGGAGTCATACACACAAGTCAAGCCTAAGAGTCGAAATACTTAAACAGTTTGTTCATTATTTGCACATTTTTCTGCTCACCTGTCAAAGAATGTGGCTAAGAGACGGCGGAGCAAGACTTTGTGTTTGATGCCGGCACATAGATGACAATTCATCAGCTGGCCTCGAGTCATGAACACTTGTGTACCTGTGTGGGAAACAAAGGAAAAAAAAGAAAAAATCTTGTGTGAAACACGCTGACATTACAGCATTTTCCTTTATCTTTGAAGGCCCTCCTCTCTGCTTCTTTTACCTTTTACTCCACTTTGAGGCCTTTTTCTACATTTGAAGTCAAAGTTTAAGGAGATCTTTAATGGACTTAAACAAAATGGAGTCAGAAATCAGAGAAGAGGAACAGACGGTGACAAAAGCAGCACACTATTAAATGACTCCGTTTTGCTTTCTTTCCAGCGTCATCCCTTCCTCAGCAGTGCATGAGCCCTTACACCAATCGAGTTTTGGATTATTCACCACGACTTGCGCATTATTGTGCTCAGCTCTCTTTGAATTATGCTGGGAAGTACTCAGATGTCGTTCTTTTGTCTGGAGAGATTCGGCACCGAATCGATTTAAGGTTTTCTGTCACGTTCCTTTGTGGAAGCTGTATTACCTACACGGTGAGTTGTACCTGTTCTCTTTGAAGTGCCAAGAGCGTGATGTGGGAGCCAGACCAAAGAGTTCAATTTTTGTCTCATTGCACCAAAAAAATAAAAAATAAATAAAAGAACTTTTCCCTCATACTCTCAGAGCTCTGTAAGGACCATTTGGCAAACTCCCGGCAGGCAGTCATATGCTTTTTACTCCAGAGTGACTTCTGTCTAGCTACTCTTCCATAAAGACTGATGATATCTGCAGAGATGGTTGGATGGGTGCAGAGATGGTCCTTCTGTCTCAGTCTTAAATCTCTGCAAAGAAACTTGCAGCTTTATTTTAGCACTTTCAGTCTGACAGACAGAGACGTGGCGCCGGCTTCCTGACCCTTGCCTGATCCGTGGATTAACATGGGTCAGACAATGTTTTCCCAAACAGCCTTTTAATTAGGAATATGAATTCAATTAAACGGCACTGAGTTGTAAACATAATTTAACTAAACAGTCTTAATCAAATTTTTTAGCACTTATGCATAGTCAAGTTGCTGTGAATGAGCAGTAATTCTCTGGTAGGAGTCTCATATCGGACAAAGAGGGCTGATTACATGCAGTTGACCCTTACATTCACTATGAATGAAGGTCACAGGGCTGTGGGTAAATTCTCTAATAGATGGTCCTCTTTGCCCAAGTCTCATTAAAAAGATTTCAGTAACTTTAAACTTTGACAATGAGCTCTCCATCCTCCTGAATTTATGACTTTAAATTCATTTAGTTAAATTCATTTTTAAATCCAATTTCGATATCTTCCAAACTCACTTGGTGTGTAAGCGAATCCTTGGAAATTCTGCAGGGGTAAGATGTTAGCATCTAAATGTGCTGTGAGTGACTTGTGATTGCTTTGTGCGTGCCTACCCGCCACCAGCTCCAGCTTCTCTCCAGGGTCCCCCTCAGTATAGAGCTTAGGATGGCAGCGGTAGCCTATCTGGCTTATGAGGCTTGCAGGCAGCGCCACAAGGTCCCTGCGGATCAGCACGCAGTTGCGGTTCTCCAAGGACAAGGGCATCGACGCCATCTCCGGCTTGTCTTGGACTAAAAAAAAGAGACAAAGAACCGAAATGCAAACTTTATTTAAAATCTCACATCACAAAAACACATTGGTATCCGTCACTTTACTGGAATAAAAACACCCTAAACAAAGTTGTTTTCCACGCCTACCCCTGTGTATCCACACCAAAATAGAAGCTATGAAATTTAATTAGTAAAGCAGGTTGGGGTAATCTCATACAAGTTTGTTGTGTTCCATGAATGTTTTAGAGCTTTGCAGATGCATCCTAGACAAGTCACTGTGCAGCATCAGCATCTTTAGTTTTAGAGGGGGGGGACATATCCAGAGCTGAGTGTTGGGGTCTTATTCAAAAACTCTTTTTTTCACCCAAAAACCTCTAAGACAGCTTGTGAGTGTATACACATGCATACTCGTCCTGCACGCACACACACATGAAACAAAAAGAAATTAATCCAATAACTGCCACACGCATGCACATAGCGAAAGGTGTAGATTAATCTATTTGTATGTGCAGACACATCTGCGCGCGTGCACACACACACACACACACACACACACACACACACACACACACACACACACACACACACACACACACACACAGGAAAGATAAAGATGTGCATGGTTCTCAAATATCCTACAATGTCACCCTGGGGTGCTCTGACTGATTGCAGATAGAATGGATTTCATAAATATGTGAAACCCTAGAATTTGACAAACCTCTCTTTGAGCTGCAGGATGTGAAGAATGAAGGAGAGCGGAATCTGTGTGTATGTGTACTCATGTGTGAGTTTATCACTATCCATAGGTACCCCGTCGGTGTGTTTATGTGAATGCAAACCATTTACACCTGCATGTATTGAAAAAATCTACACCAGTGTAAAAAATGTGGCAGAAAGCCATAATGAAAAGCGGTACGGTCCGGCTGCTGTAGCTGCGATAAGGAAGATGTTGTTGGTCACGAAGCACTTCAATCATAACTCCATAAAGCTATCTTTAAGCTGAAAGAACCCCCCCACACACACATGCACACACACAAACACACATACTGGAAGTACAACAACCTGCTTTTCAAAGATGCGCAGGACACACGATGCATAAAAGATTAAATAAGGTAATTGGGATGAAATGAATGTGCATCAGGTTCTAGTTTTTTTGTTTTGTTTTTTTTAATTTTTTGCACAACCTGTAACAGATAAGAGGTCTGGATAAACCCCACATTTAGTTTCTCCAAGTCCTCTCAAGTTTTACTTTGAGATCGCTCTGTTATCAAATTAATTTCCTCCATATGAGCCGAGGGCAGCTGAGAAAGTAATGCACCAAATCAGACTTGACATGACTACAAATTTAAAGTTGCCATTGAGACTTTATCAGAGTCCTGGACTTTGATAGTATGTGCTTTAAGGATCGAAGTGCTGTAAAATCAGGGGGTGTGTTGTAAGCACAGCTCCTTATGGCATGCCACTGTTGTTTCATATACTAATAAGCATTGTTAAGGACTTTAGAAACATCTAACACAATACTCACTCCCGTAGGGATTGGCTGAACGTCCATAAAGATGACTGTAGGTCTCCTCTGTGATCCCATCGTAGGGCTCCTCCTCAAACTCCTCATCCTCGTTCTGGTAGGACGTGGGACTGTCGGTTGTGGGCAGACTGGAAGCTCCGGGGCTGGACCTGTCACCGCCGGCTGCTCCTCCTCCTCCAGCTCCACTGCCACTAGTCCCCTGGAGGCTGAAAGCGGGCATACCAGGGATAGGGGTCCCTCCAGCTGTTGTGTAGAACAGCGGCCCGGCCCTCCCCAGTCTACTCCCAAGCTCTGAAGGCGAAGTCTTACTTGGCGTTGAAGGTACAGTCAGGGGCAAGGGCTCACCTCCTTCAATTTTAATCTTACGCTGCGGTATGAGCAGAGTCGAAGACCATCCCGGGGTCCCTAGAAGGGCAGCCACTGCCAGGCCGTTGCCATTATTACAAGGACTCTGTGGCTCAGATACCGTTTCTTCTAAGGACCCCATTGTCTGCGAGTCACAGTGAGGTGAGTTTGCCTTAAACATTAGGTCCATGCCTTTTTCAACTATATGCTGAATTTGGAGGTAGCCAGCTGTGTACATGACCACCAGCTGCTCACTAGCTGCCATTGTTAGCTTCCCTGTGTAGCAGAAAGTGAGGATCTGCTCAAAGCAAGCAGGTGTGACTGAGGAAGGCAACTCAAACTGGGTCTTGGTGGAGCTGCTGAAGAGGTCACGAAAGTAGAGGCTGCTGGCGGCCAAAACAGCCCGGTGGGCTTTGAAAGCCTGGCCTGGTTGAGGGAAAAAGAAGTTGAGAACATTGACGAAGACAGTTAGCACTTTGTACAAGTTAATCTGTGATTAACAGAGCAACATTAACATTTTTCTGCCAACTGACCTTTAACCAGTATGGATACATCACAGTAGTGTCCCAGCAAGCGCTGCTCATTAAGGGAACCCAGAACCGTAGCTCCAAAGTTTGGGATCTCCACATGGAGCAGCTGGGACATGATGGCCACAGAGTGGAAGGAAGATGGGGCTTCAGATATTCACTGCAGACTCTGCCGCCGGGAGAGGCATCTGTAATAACAAAGCGGAAGGAATCCAAAAAAAAGGTATGGTAAATGCGTTGGAGAGGAGAAAGGCACTGACAAATGAAGGAGCAAAAAGCAAACGCGTGAAAGATGAAAAGACATGCCAGAGGGAGGCAGAGGGGCGAGAAGAGAGAGATAGATCCTCTCAGGTTGTTTCTCTCTCTTAGAAAAAGCAAAGAGTAAGAATGAAAATAGAGTTGCGATGAAGTGAGAACACGCATACAGTTGAGGGAGAAGTGAGAGGTGTGCGAAAGAAAGATGGATATGCAGAGATAGTGGGTGAGAGAGTCGAGGCAGGAGAGAGAAAGGAGGAGTCACTCCACAGAAAAAAAAAAAAAACACGAACACAATGCTGCGCCTACTGTGCATAGAAGGTTGTGAAATACCTTTAGGCTATGTTGTTTTACATTACTTAAATTCCAAGAACCTTGCACTCCTTCCATGTATTGCTCTTAATGCATCCAGAACAATTTACCCACAGCATGGACTTTGACAGCCTGTACGCCTTAACTTTTCTCAGAAATAAACCCCACACTGAATGCAACCTGTTTTTCATGTCATAGATTTTCCTGGATTTCGCTGACACCGTGGCAGTTGTTCTCTTTCTCAGATCTAGCTAGACAACAATCCAAAGAAAGACAACTTTAAAAAACAAAACAAATAAAAAGTCCTTTTCAGTAACACTCTCCAGATATATTTGCACCTTCATTCCAGCCCTGAACCTTTTATAATTGCCTTTGTCTTCCCACCAACCCACACATACGTACATATACGCACTAGTTTCATTATTGAGCAATGCTGCAGAACAGTTTCCAGGAATACAAACTGAAAAAGATGTCACCGCCTCTCTCTCTCTCTCTCTCTCTCTCTCTCTCTCTCTCTCTCACACACACACACTCTCCCACTTCATGCACTCCATACAGAAAGGCATGCACTGTGGCTTACTTACATAAAAGCCTGCATGCATGAAGACACACACGCACATGCAGTAAAAGCTGCACAGGGAAATTACTGTGTACTCTGGCACGCAAGCACTCACCTGGAGAAACAAGAACATGCCTTTTCCTCTGCTAACAGTCTCTCACACATGCACAAATGCACAAAAAGAGTGCTCACTCTGTTATCCCAGACAGTTCTGACCTGAGTAAGCCAGTCTTCTGGTTAAAGCACACCATGGAGCCTTGACACACACACACACACACACACACAAAACACGCCAGCAGCAGTCAGGACCAGGACAGAAGAGGAGCAGTTAAGAGACGGAGGGAGAGCACTCAGATGTACTCCGTCTAGTCGACTCTTTCTCTCACTTAAAGTGTCATTCCTAGTGACTCAAAGATGATTCTCTCTGCTGACTGACTTTTCTCTGTCTGTTTTCTCTCGGCCTATCTACAATCTCTATACCCTCCAAAGCCCTATTCTCCCTGCTAACTGTCTGCTCTAGCACTGTCTCAAAGCCTCCCTCTGCCTCCTTGTCATTATCTCGCTCTCTCTGTGTTTCTCTCCCCCTCTCCCTGTTCTCCAAGGGTTGAATTCAACAAGTGCCGCTGTAGATAGGGGGAGTGTGTGAGTGAGAGAGAGAGAGGGAGCGGGGGAGAGAAAGAGAGGCCAGAGCAGAGCAGAACCGAGCAGAGCAGAGCGAATCAATGATGAAAGGAGTGGGAGGCTCAGTGTGTGCGCAAGCGCACGCCCGTGCATGTGTCTGCGCGCGTGTGTCTGATCAATGCAGTATCTATACGTCGCAGGGAGTGGGAGGGAGAGAAAAACACAGGCTACAGTTACAGACGGAGACAGAGACTGGGCAGAGCTAAGGAGAATCAAGGGAGGGAGGGCGGGAGGGGAGAGTTGAGACAGAGAGAAAGTCATTTGAGGACAGTACGAGTAGAGAAAGACAATTAGGTTGAAGCAACTTCTGCTACTTGGACACAGACATGTATATACAGTCTAACAGAATGAGGGGGAGAATGACTAAGACGAAAAAAAAGAGAAACGAGAAGCACATACAGGGGTCACATCCACCATTAATTAAGGAGACATCGAATAGCGAAACTTGTGAGCACCCAGTTTGACGCAAGTCTGGAAAGAATGCGTCACATCTCAGTAAAGCAGAGCTTTATTAAACTCGAACTATAGCGTGCACAATGCAGTGAATCCTTAAATCCTTCTAAATGTAGAACTGAAAAGACTGATCGAAAAACAATCACCAGTGTCAGGGTATTTCCCATTATTCGTACCATCTTTGTAAGACAATAGTTAAAAAAAAAAAGGAAAAGAAAAGAGAGGCTTTACTTTTGAGCAAGTGTTGTGTATTTTCTCTGAATCATGCAAGGACATCTCTGCCAAACACCTACACATAAACAGAGAGAAGTGCTGTCTTCACGCAAGACTATTTTGTATTTCTACATGAATTGATGAATTAAATGATTAATTTACGCCTCCGCTTCGGTGGCTCGGCTTGTTCAGGTGACATTTCTCTGCTTTCTCTTGGGTACTTTTTTTGGCCAGCCCATAGAACGCTTCCCTAAATGTTACTTGATCTGGATGAAGGAGGACAGGAGCCAGATGTCACTGCCTGCGACAGGACAACCGCTAAAAGAAGGACAACAGCTACCAGAGAGGATAAGTTCCAGAAAGATGTGTGTGGGAGGGTATAAATGCATAACGGATGAGTAGGAAAATGGGTTGTTTTTTTTTACAGTATGTGTGTGCATATAAACACACGCACACGAACGAATGCTGTGTAATTTTTACATGTCAGAGTAAAAAATTATAAAAACAACAAATAACACTAAGGAGACAGCTTTCTCGGAGTGCCGTGCTGTGTTATAGGTGACGAGACATGAAGACATCCTTTCAGCGCATGTCGCTTCTCTTAAAGAAAAAAAACAAAACAAAAAAACATCAAGCTGATGCTGAGGTTTTCTGAAAGTGAGCACGTCTCTCTCCCCCCCTACAAAAACTATCAAGGCACATTGTGCTCAATTCTTTGCCAAAGAAACCTCAAGTGGAGAAAGTTGCGCTAAACTGAGCAAACTTTTACTCTTCAGTTGCAACGGAAATATGAAAGGGAGGATATCACAAAGCGTTGAATGCAGTGAGTCAGACTTTGGTTTACAGAGCTTTGGCCCAGCAGTGCGATATCTGCACGGCACATATAGGCACACATGAGTGAGCACACACAAAAAAAGCACAGTGAAACGCAGGAGAAACAAATCTGCAAACACTCTCCTGCTTTCTTACACACACACACACACACACACACACACACACACACACACACACACACACACACACACACACACAGGTAATCTCCCTGTGCACACTCAGCAATACACATTCTGTTTGTTTGTCTGTCTGTCCCTCTGTGAACCTGCCAGACTGCTTGTCCACCGGCCCATCCATCCACCGGTTATTGTAACTACTGTGTCCTTACATCGCCTCTTGCGTCCCCCCCCGCATCCCCACCGCCCTTCTTTCTCTTCTCTATCCTTCCCGCCCTGCATACCACGTACCCACTGTCTCTCTGCCAATTAATGCACACAGGGCTGCATTGCAGTGAGGTTGGCGCGTGCCACGGCAGCAAGCACAGTACAGAGTCTACAGACATGCATGTACGTGCCAGCCAGGCAGAGCGGGATGGAGAGGAGGGGGTGAGAGTGAGGGAAAAGAGGAAGAGGGAGGGCGGGTAAGTGGGTGGGTGAGTATGGGGAGGGGGGCGAGAGAGTGAGCGGAGAATATGTTGAGTCAGGCAGACAGGACGGTGGAGTGCCACACTGCACATATACACAGCCGCATGTCTGTGAAAATGTATGCACGAATGAATATGAAACAAAAGGCACACATACATGTGCATCATGACAGCCCAAAAGTATGCAGAAATGCAAATGCGCACACGCGCACACACACACACACACACACACACACACACACACACACACACACACACACAAACATGCATGCAAATTCCAACCTCCTTATGGCTGCTTTATATATAGACTTTGCACATCACTGATGAAAAAATATAAGGCACCGACTCCCTCAACTTGTTTGCCAAACGAGTCACTATGTGTGTGTGTGTTTCTCCGTACATTGTGTCCTCATTTGCTATCCCGTATGTTTGCATTTCCATGTCAAAGTTTCCTGCATACCAAGGCGTGTTTTTATAATCATCATAATATATCCGACTGTGACTTTTGGCACTTCATATCAGGCGCATGTGTGTGTCTGTGTGTGCGTGTGAGGCACAGTTTGTGAGTTTAGATATGAGATTCGAATGCTGTTCTGATGGTGCTTGTCTGTTTTTTGTTGGAATGTGTTACATCCATTTTAATCAAGAATTCATACCTACGCACAGTGTTATTAACTGTAGCAGCAGGTCCAGGCATATTTGAATAATATGAAGAAATGAGACGATTCGCCAGATGGCAAACAAACACACACACACGCCGATTTTAACTACTACTTATACTAGAGCTGTCTACCAAATGACAATGCTGTAAGATTCAAACCTTAAACCATCAAAGTCACAAACAACCCTGAATGCACTAACCCTTTATTACTTTGTGGAACAGTTTAAGCTTAAAGTGAAGTTGGTTCACATGATGCAAGTCACAAAAATCCTCACTTAAATACGTTAGCCGGCATCATCGTCAAGGCACAGAGAAGTAATACCATTGCTAAACATGTTTTTGGAAGTAAAGAAATTCATTAAAAAAAAAAAAAAAAGGAAACTCAAATCAAAAATTTGAAACGAGCCGAGGAGGAGCACATCCGTCCTCCATTGCTTATGTTGCCACTATACAATCTCAATATGAACAGTCCCCTCGTTATAAATATTCAGATCCTGCAGTTGTTCTCATGTTTAAAGTGTACCAGACAACAGATTCTATCCACGTTGAGACAGCAACGCTCCCTGGCAACAGTTCTACCAATCGGGAATGAGCGGGTGTCTGCCTGAGTCTGTCTGAGTATCATTATGGGATGTCG